TTAGTTCAAAGATCGAAGCAGGCTAAAACCAGTATTTGCTATGAAAGCTCAAATTTTTCCTTTCGCTTGCTGAACTTACTTTCTCCACTGCAAGTAGGGACGGTTGAAAAATAGTAACATCATCTTATTTGCACATACCAAACCACTACTTTCTTTACTCAGAAATCTCATCTAAAAATATGCAATGATGATTTCCCAGATCAGAACACTTTAAAAAATGGTTACAAATATTAATTCAACAACACGACTGGACTGCTATCCTTGCAAAAGCAAACAGTTAAAAGCGAAGTCAGTCCCAGTGTGCATTTCACAAACAATTCCCACTCTGTTCCAACCCTGGCCACCATCTCCACCCTATCAAGGATATACTTATATGCGAACAATTATAGCTTAAAGTTTATTTGAAGTCAACAGTATCAAGTATTAAGGGAAACTGACCTGAAATGGCAGCAATTAAATAAATATTAATACATTATATCATTAATATATTTTCTCTGAGTCTTTTCGTGGTATTTGCTTTTCATTTTATTTTTGCTAGTAATGCTTTTTCTGTTTAAAACCGAGGAAAGTAAATCATCGACTATAAAAGGGAAACGGCAAAATCTGCTCTGTACAGGCTGGAATTAGACTTAGTGAACTAGAAAGGCAGTTACATCAATCTAAATTCTACCTATAAAAAGTAAGTGAAAATCAGTAAATGTAGAAATGTATTAGCCAACATGAGGTAAGAGTCTACCTTTAGCCTGCATGCAGCTGCCATAGGTAACAACAGTAGCAAAGATGCATCTTGTAATCCATATAAGCTGGGTTGCAGGCGTACCTGTGTTGTCACCAGACCTTCTGCCGCTGTGCAGAGATGCCCGCATCTGCTGTGTAACGATTACACCAGTACAAAAGACAGCGCCGCGTCCAGCTTGCGTAGAGGGCTTCAGCTGGAGTTTGTGTCCTCTGGTGGGGTCTCAGAGAAAGAACTGAATTTCTTCTGAATCATGAAAACTAGAGACGTACCTGGCTGCCAGCACGTGAATGCTGCAAAAAGAGATGACGAGAGGAGGAGAGGTCCTCACACCATCCTCGACTGGTGTCGGCTGGCGAGCTGTCAGCTGATGTCCCTCCATGTACATTGTCTGGCGCACTGAGCAGAAAAAATTAAACACTGATTGGGGTAGCGCTTAATGTGAGGATGAACTGGAAGACTGTGGTTTTAGCAGGTAGATCATGACCTTTAGGCTCACGTGAGGTATAATGAATGAATGCCAAGATGTCTATATGATAGGTTAAGGTTGGGAAAGGAAGAAGAGGTAAAGGGGAGTCCATACATAGGTCTTTACCAGACTCTCCTTTTTCAAATATTTGATCTGGATTTAAGTTCTAATGCTTTAAATTAATAAACATGCATTAGTGACCCTAACTCTGGCTTACATTTTTGTTTAGCAATTAATCTAAGTTTGTTCTTTTTTCATAGAGCCACACAGAAGCAGAAAGCTTTTCTGTTAGGTCAGTTCAGCTTTAAACCTTGGCAAATTAACAGAAGGGGCTAAATTAACAGAAGAGCCCTCTTTCAAGCGCTGAAAGTTCTTTCAAAGCTTGTAGGAGCTGCCATTTCTGCCCTTGTGCCAGTGGGTATTTCAAACGGTGAGCTCCCTGAGCTCGTAAAAGCCCTTGCAATCAAGTAAAGAAACCGGAAAGCTGGAAAAACATGAATTGTTTCAAATACCATTGATAACCAAGATACCATTGATTTCATTGATAACTTCAGAATGTGCTGTGCGTTGTCAAGTGGGAGTTACACTTCACAAGTTCAGGAAGATTTTAATCCAAACAACCTATCCATTATAAAGCCGTACGCTCAACACACACAGGTTTCTGTTTTCAGGCTTCATGTTTTCTTGAAGGGGGAAAGATGCCCAAGACAGTGCAGGACTCTGCATCAGCCAGTTAACTAGAATGAGTGAATAACTTCTTTCTCAACGTGATAAGGATGGGGTTCAGATGTTTTCCCCCAGATACTACACATTTTTATACAGACAAAGGAAAAAGTGTATTTTTGAGATACAAGGGCCTGGTTGTCACCTTTTGCTTTGGAACAGAAAAAAACAAGCAAGACCAATGATAATAATTAAGGAAAGAACAGCTGTTAAAATTGCTAACAAATATTGCAGAAAGGGACTGGAAAATATCCTGGAGAGAACAAAACTAGGGAAAAAATGTTCTGAAATCTTATTTGAAGTAACTCTGACGAGGTCTGCTCTGACCAGTGTGCAAAATATGTCTTTTCAACAACACTTTTCAATAAAATTGGGATAGACCCAAATAGCAGGAGGCCACAGCGGGGACTGCCAGATTATTTAAGTTTGAAAATACAAATGCTGTTCCCAGCAGCATCCCATTGTAGAGGTGGCTGTACTCGGGCTGCCTTTCCCTCACCTATTTGCACACAGGGGCGAGTCTTCAAAGGCAATGGTCCCTAAACACCCTCCAAAAATAAATGTCGGAGACCGTTCCCTGCTGCATTAGGCTCAGTAGCCGTTTCGTACCAGAAAGCCAAGCGGCCTCGCACCCATCCCACCCCGACCCCGGTGGACATCTCCCGCCTGGGTAGGGCAGCTGCAGGGAGTGCGGCGGGCAGCTCGGTGCCTTCTCCTATCCTCGGCCACCTCCGAGGCTTCCCCGCTGCTGCC